ATATATATATATATATAATATATATATATATTATATATATATATATATATATATATATATATATATATATATATATATATATATATATATATATAAGATTTGTGTTCTTTAGAGGGCACTTCAAACTTTAAGCACTCGAGTGAAATCGAGTCACGATTGATATGTGGGGTTTAACGTCCCAAAACCACCATATGATTAGGAGAGACGCCGTAGTGAAGGGCTCCGGAAATTTCGACAATCTGGGTTTTTTTAACGTGCACCCAAATCTGAGCACACGGGCCTACAACATTTTCGCCTACATCGGAAATGCAGCCGCCGCAGTCGGGATTCAATCCCGCGACCTGCGGGTCAGAGCAGCCGAGTGCTTTAGCCACTAGACCACCGCGGCGGGGCGTGTCTTATTCGTAAACATTCTACTAGTTTTATTTAAAAAAAAGCCATGCTAATGTATATATATATATATATATATATATATATATATATATATATATATATATATATATATATATATATATAATGTTAATGAGGTTTAAAAATCAATTAATCTCATTAATATCGTGTCAAAACAAGGACAAACGAGTCCTTAAGTATACACTTCTTTCCCTTATATATAAACAGTGGGGGGCTTACCCTGTATGCCTGAAGGTATACAGGGCAACGAGCGGTAAAGTTGCTCGGGAATAATTAAGCCGATATGCTACCTTCTTTTCGAAGCTGTTGCGTCAAACCTCGAGTTCGGTGTGTCATATTCGGCGTAATTAATTTTTTTTCCGCTCTACACGGTTAGCGTACGAAATGCGAAACGTTCACGCGCCCCACACAACCACTTGGCGGTCCTATAAAAGCGATTTGAAGGAAGCGTATTCCTTGACTCGGCAACCGGTCACTGTTCGGAATCGTCACGCAAAGCACGCAGCTTGCTTACAGGGAAAAACAGCGCCGATAGCTTCCAGATGATTGCGCCGCCGTCGTAGCGGAGTTATCGCCACTTCAAGTCGCTTTTGGAAGCACCGACGACGAAAAACCAATAGACAATGAAGTCAAGGACGGTATACAGGAAAAGTAAATTGTATTTTTTAAGTGTACTGTGTGATATAGGATGTAAGAAAGTAAAGAGACGAAAAGCCAACTTGCCGCTGGTACAGCTAGTGACGGCATCGCTTGGGCTTGAAATCACGCAGCAATTCGTCTTTTTTTTTTTCCCCCGAGCTACGAATAAAAATGCTGAAAGAAAATTACGCAGTACATAGCGCGCTCAAACCGACCAAACGGGACGCTTTTGTACCCAATAACGAAATTCCATGAAAAAATCACATCCTCATACTCAACTAATTCGACCAAATTAGTGAGGTAATTACCCCGGGAAAATTATTCCAGCGCAATAAAAGACTTCTTGATCCATCACAGTATATCCCAATCGTACATAAAAGCAGTCAGTGCCCTACGACCGCCCCTTGTAGGATGCCAGCTGTGGCCTAACAGCCTGGTGGCGAGAGACGTTAAACCCCACATATCTATTTATCGATAATATACGCCTCTAGATAGCGCATACTAATGAGACGGGACTGGAACAACTTTATGCCCTGCAGGCGTCTCCCACGTATAGGGACCGACCGAAAAACAGACGGACAATCAAGCCAGGAAAAGTATGGAAAATGTTTTTGTAGTACTAATTATTATTACTACGTATTACGAGCAGACAATGGGGCATTACTGTATGCGCTTACCAATTGGTAGAGCATCTGATGCACTGCTCGATGGTTGCGGGTTCGGTTCCCTTCCGAAGTAAGTTATCTTTTTGTCCACTTAATATGTTCACATTCACATCACCATAGTGATACGAATGTGAACTTGTTACGTGAAGCGTGCATACGTTAGAAAAGATGTTCCAAATCGACTGTGATGGCCGGGAGCAGCGATTCCTTACACTGCCAGAGCCAGTCTCACCAAACAAGAGGCTCACGATAAGAGAGACGACCAGAGTCACTGCTTCATTAGAACACAGCACCACGCGCTAATGCGTGATCGGCGTCCCTATGCTGCAGTATCCAGGGGTGGGTGTCCTGTGTGTTCAAGGCGAAGTGAGGATGGCCTGGAACAAGGTCTTTACGTACATGTCGAGGACCAGATGATACCTTAGGAATTCCCTAGTGTTGTCTTTTTTTTTTCCAACGCATTTCTCCGCAACAGCAGGGCCGCAACATTCTGTTGAACTGTCATGAGTTGTCGACGCGGGGCGCTTTATATCTGCAGGGGATAGTGTCCTCCAATACAGGGGTGGTGTCAGGACGGCCGTACAATGCGGGGATCTTAAACATTTAAAGGGCCGGTATTGAAGATGCCGCAATCGCGCGCTCTGCAGTTAGCACCGTTGTGCGCCGGACACACGCAGCTGTATACTGCCTGGTTATAGCAACTTGCCGTGGGCAGGCACCAAACATGCGTTATTCGAAGGTCGCAGGTTCGGTTCCTGCCAATGGAAAGTCATCTTTTCATCCAATTTCCTTCTCACACATTGACATTACATTTAGGTCTAATAACTTCCTCTATACTTTCCTTGGCAGTATTGTCGGTTAGATCTCATTGATGTGTCAAAACAAGGAAAAACGAGCCCTTACGTAAACACTTCTTTCTCTTATATATATATATTATATATATATATATATATATATATATATATATATATATATATATATATATATATATATATATATATATTGCGCAGAATTGCTTTACCGTAGCAAAAAGCAATCTTCGATATTCGATAAAAGCAAAATAGAGTAAAATCTCGTTACTTCAAACTCCAAGGAAAGTAACGATTATTTTGCCCCGCCGCGGTGGTCTAGTGGCTAAGGTACTCGGCTGCTGACCCGCAGGGCGCGGGTTCGAATCCCGGCTGCATTTCCGATGGAGGCGGAAATGTTGGAGGCCCATGGGCTCAGATTTGGGTGCACGTTAAAGAACCCCAGGTGGTCTAAATTTCCGGAGCTCTCCACTACGGCGTCTCTCATAATCATATAGTGGTTTGGGGACGTTAAACACCACATATCAATCAAGTAACGATTATTTATTAGGGAACCACTAATTAAATTGTTCAAATTAAGCGGAGTTCGAATTAGCGGGTAGGCACTAGAATGAACGGACATCGCACCACACCCAAGGAAGGTATACCTCTCGATGAGATATTGCTAAATAAGCGCTAGAGCACGCTTGTTGCAGCTGAAGTCATAAATTAAGTTCACGGTGCGAAGAGAATCAATCGCTACGCCAGAAACAAGCCCCAACACGCATTCATGTGCACACTGAGCCTCACTGTCGAAATGAGGCTATTTATGCTCCAAAACAAGTTCACTTACATGGCAGAGTTAACGGAATCAACATTAATGTAATCAACAATTGGCATTTGCTTGCATTTCTTCTGTCGCCACTGCAGGAGCACCGTTTGCAGCTTGCTGGAGAGGCCCAGTGCAGCATCCGAATGCTTATCTGACAAATGCTGCTGTTTCGTTGTTCTACATCTCTAGTAAATTTGGTTTTATTAAAACATATTGTGATCATTCTAGGCCGACTTCTGCGAGGAACGATGAAAGCAAGAGGGCGCTCAGTACGAATTAATCATTGTGGCTACCGACGCATACAACAAGGCTGTGCCGGGAACAGGACGACAGTTCGATTTAACAGAGTCCGAATTAACATGCTGTGCTGTAGTCAGAAGAGGGCGAGAACAGCGCCTGTGTGAGACTTCTTTTAAACCTCGCGTCAGCTCTCAGCCCATATCCCTATCAACAAGATAACTGAATGATCTATGATGCTAGGACCCATCCTATTTCTGTTCTTGTGCGTTGTAGTGATGATGCCCTCATATTCCACCCCTGGAAATAAATCCCTTAGTTGTTCGTCAGCACTCTGTCTTGTGTTGCGCTGCTTTATATGCATTTTTTAAATGTCTAACGACATTTCCGTATAAGCATGCTGCTCACATTCATTGCTCTTTATACAATAATTTCAATGCGCTTTTTTAGGTACACGTTCCCAAACTCTGGGAGATAATTTTATCTAATGGCTTCTACAAACGGGGCCCAGCGCTACACAACCATATTTACTATAATAACGTACTTACAAATATGAGACTCAGCTATCTGATTACGCTCCCTATTCGAATGAAGAGAATGGTGGTTCAGCTGGTATCATTCCTGTTGCTGAGCGCCAGAGAGCGAAACGGCCGTTTTACAAAGTACGCGAAATGTAAAAAAAAAAAAAAACGTTCACGCAGTTCATTGATTGATGCGCACGTTGAAACATCCTGGTGATCGAATTCAACCACGAGCACACAGCGGTGGCCTCTCGAAGCACCTGTATTCACTTAGAGAGAGAGAGAGAGATAAACAGAGAGGAAAGGCAGGGAGGTTAACCAAGCTTGTCTCGGTTGGGATGTTTACCGAACGAACGTCGCCACAAGTGTCAAACCTAGAGGCGGTAATTATAAAAGCAAATGGGAAAACCGCAGTAGACAAGTCAGCATTCCGCGACGGCAAAAGTGTAAGCACAATGTGGCATGCACATTGTGCTTACACATTCGCAAAAGTGCGCAACGTTCTTTTTCATTAAAAACAGATTCGAAGACGCGCGCGGCAAAAAAAATAAAATAGAAAAAAAAAACATGAAGGAATGGACGGAAAGAATACAGATGCAAAAGAAAATGCACCACGCTATCTTATAGTAAGATGTTGCGAAATCTGCTTCTACGACTATTTTTAGATTTTTTTTTTTTTTATGAAACAGGGAAAGTCTCGCCAACACTACGCACGCACCGAAGTTTCGCGCAGCTCCAAAAGTAGCGCGCCTTGCCCTTCTTAATGTTCCTTTCCCTACCGCGTGAAAGCGTAACATATACAACTGATCACCACGTGCGCTTCGCAAACACCGGCGAGTTCCACCCATGCGCTGTCAAAATGACAAATGCGTTTGGGCGCGCATATATAGGCTTCGACAACTCTTACCTTGCAGCTGTGTGGCGCTGAGCACGAAGCAGCGCACGAACTAGTGGTTTGGTGTGACGAAGAAGCGCCATCGTTTTCCCACGCGAGGAAAACATGCTCTCCGAAGTTCGGCCGAACGGTGAAGCAAGCGAGTCGACAGCGGGTATGATGCGCCAACACAACTCTCAGCGCTCGGATCCTTTTCAGTACGCACTAATTCAGAATCTACATTCCATGCACTTCCAGGCGAAATCACGACAGCGCGCAGCTTCTCGCACTCGCGCACTCCTACTTGCACGGCGGCAGCGGCGGGAATGAAGCCTGAACGCGGTTTGCACAGACCCCCCATAGACCGCCTCTCAGAAGCGTCGCGTGGTGGCGCCATCTGTTGGTAATTGAGAACATGGCACGTTTCCCCTGGTGGCGAAACTGGCAATTTACTACCAGACCTTTCTTTCTTCGAACAGTAAAGTGGAAAACGTGTGAGTGCGTGTTCGCGTGAAGTGCGTGTAAAACACAAAATGTTTTTTTTTTTTTTTTTTTTTTTGACGGTGGCGCGGCAAGCGCCTGACTGGTGATGTGTGTGTGCGTGTGTATGGATGTGCGTTGAAGCGCACAACTTTGTCCTGTGGCGCTGCTGGCGCCTGCCCTGTGCCAAAAGGGATTAGGAGCACCTACTTACTTACTTACTTACTTACTTACATCGCATCAGGCTCAAATCAGGGCCGTCGGGAGCACATAGTTGTGAGCTTGTTTGGGAGTTATTAGAATTTTGTGAACGACAAAATGCACGAGCGATTGTAACGGGTGATTTCAACATTGACATGTTGGCTACCTCTGCTAACAAGCAAAACCTTCTGGACACAATGCTCTGTTTTGGCTATGAGAACGAAATTCGTGTGCCTACTCGGATGACAGAAGTATCTGAAACCCTTCTTGACTTGTGTTTCACCAACTTTAAAAATGAAATATGTGCTGGAGTTGTTACACCTGTTGTTAGTGACCACTTTCCGATTTTTGCATTCATAAAGTCACACAAAACAAAGCGTAAGAAAATCAACCCTACTTACTACAGAAAAATTACCACTGCGAAAATTCAGACCTTTCAAAGATTAGTTGCTGCGGCAGATTTCAGTGAAGTATTACAAATCACAGAACCTGTACGAGCTTACGAAACATTTGCGTTGAAAACAACACAGCTCTATGATCAGGCATTTCCTATAGTACTGCTCAAAACGAACAAAAAAGCTAGGAAACCATAGATAAATGCGTCACTTCTAAAGAAAATAAAAGAAAAAGATAACCTATTTCACACTTTCATAAAACAACGCAAATCGACTACTTACGGCAGTTTAAACAGTTTAGAAATAAATTAGGGTCTGATATAAAGCGGGCACGCATACAATATTACGAACATAGTTTTCTGCTATTGCAAATGACCAGAAGGCAGTTTGGAATACCATGAACGGTCTTTAATCTTCATCAAGTAAAAAAACCATCACCGAGCTTATGATAGAAGGCAAACCTTGTTCCGGTACACCACTCGCTGATGAGTTCAACAGTCATTTTTTTGAAATCGGGTGCCTGTGAAACCTCCCCTAATAACGAAGTAGGCTGTGAACCAAGAACGTACATTACAAAATGACCTACAAAATCACTCTTTTTGGCCCCCACTGATGAATCTGAAGTACATTATCTCATTATGAATTTACCTAACAACTATGCGGCAGGTGTTGACGGTATAAAAGCAGGGCCATTAAAAGCAGTCTCACAGTATATTAGTCTGCCCCTCTCGCACACATGTAATTTGATTTTAAGCACCGGAATATTTCCTGATAAGCTAAAGATATCCAGGGTCTCGATCATTCACAAAGGTGGTAATGAAAATGATTTAAGTAATGATAGACCTATATCTGTCTTGCCCATATTCTCAAAAGTTATAGAACTAATTTATACTTTTGAATCTCAAATTTTTGTAACCAAGAAAATATAATAACAAAACATCAGTACGGTTTACAGAAGAAAAAAAAGTGCAGATGGGGCTTTGCTGTCTATCAAGGACAAAATAATATATAATTTTGAGCAGAGATCTTATACGCTTGGAATATTCCTTGATTTCAAAAAGGCTTTCGATTCGATCAAACATGAAATACTCCTGGTGAAATTAAACCAATACGGCATAAGGGGTGTTTCACTCAAATTAATAGACAGTTAGTTAACAAATCGATTTCAGTATTGTGATACGCATCATGCACTATCTAAAATGGATAAAATTAAGTACGGCGTCTCTCAAGGATCTATATTAGGCCGGCTCCTGTTCCTCTTATATATCAATGATACTGTTAATATACCACTAACCCCGGACATGGTTCTATACGTAGATGACACGAACATTTTTTTTCTCTGGCAAAGACATCAACAGCTTAGAGGAGCAAGCAAACAAATGGCTTAAGCACTTATCAGTATGGTTGATAGCAAATAAGATTGAGCTGAACACCCAAAAAAACGAAATATGTTATTTTTCGCCCAAAAAATAAAAACTATACCCCGTGACATCCAAGTGAAGTTTCGAGGGGAATCGATTGAGCGGGTCGCATCCCTAAAATCTCTGGGTATAATTTTTCATGAAACACTCGACTGGACATACCACATAAACAAAGTTCGCACCGATCTTTCGCGCTCAATTGGTGTAATTGAGAAAATCAGATGTTTTTAGCCAAATTGGATAACGAAGCAACTGTACTATTCCTTAGTTTACTCGCGTATAAATTACTGTTTATTATTATGGGGTAACACTACAAACACAAACAAATAATGTGTTTATAAACTACAAAAAAGAATAGTTCTGATAATTGAAGGGGTTCAACCTAGAACACATTGCACTCCACTTTTCAAAAAACACAACATATTATAGTTTGAAAACATCCTAAATAAAAAATAGCCATGATCATATGGGATAAATTGTAATCTCACCCAGTCGCTTTTCATGATGCATATTCGCAAAGAAAACATGCATACAGCTTTAGACGCATAACATACTGCAGCGAAAGAATAAGGACTAACTACGGCTCGCAAAAGCTTGCGCATATGATCCCTAAACTATTAAATGCACATCCCACAATTACCACCATAGTGTAAGAGAGCCACTCATTATTTGCATTTAAAAAAAATACACACATATCTAGTAGGGCTCCAAGAATAATTTTTCCTCTTTCTGCGGTATCACACAGGTTGTATTTATAATTGAAGTGTATACACTCGTGACATTTTCATTAATGAGTTCTAATAAATTGGTTTGTTATTCAATAAACTTGGGTTTCTTCACATATTCCTTGCTTTGTTTGCTATAAACTCAGTCTTGCAGACAGGCCTGTACTTAATAAAATGTTCATCTAACGTTTCTTTATAAATTCTTATAAAAAATTTGTAAATGCGGCTGCTTATTTGTTAAAACATTTAAATTACGTGTACATTTTTTGCGCTTTATAGTCTGGGACGGGTTATGGCACCTTGTCCGGCATTAATTTGCCTTTTTGGCAACCTTGCCCCTTACTTGTGTCTACTGTAATTTGTGTACTGTACTTTGTATAATAAATAAAAAAACCATCGTTAGTGGCTTGCTCTTTCGGATACCGCAATGGGTGACTAGATCAACTTGGACTGCTTGGCCTATACCACATGTGCTCAAAGTACGGCACCGTTATTGTAATATTGTAAGGCGTCCCTCTCGGAATGCAACATCCAGTAACGGCATCAAACGCGCAACCTCGACTTATTAGCAGTGCACCACAATAGCTTTGAGAAGGTCGGAGGGAGCAGGGGCGTAATTAAAAAATTTTGCGCGGAGGGCGGACGGATCCGTTCTCCCGTATTACGTTCGAGCGCGTGCTTTTATTTGAGTGCATACTACACTTACATCTTACTCTTATAACTGTAAACTTACAGCGGATACCAACGTTTGCATTCTACCTTTTCTAACGTGCGGGACAAAAACTTGCAGTGTTGCAAACAAACTCGGAAAGAAACTAAGGACCACGCAGCATCCTATGGAACAAAAAAAAACAAAAAAAAACACCAGGCCCATGCGGAATACGCCACATAGTCAATCACAGCGTAAATTCAGAGGGGAGGGGTGATTTTGCTTTCCCTCCTTTCTCTCTCTCTCGAAAATGTTCCAATTTGTATACCTACATGGGTAATGAAAACAAGCGTGAACATTGCGGCATCAACGCGGTCTGATGTTTCATTGTTCTTATCAAGTGATTCTAGCTTAGATGACACTAAAAAGCTACCAGAGTCAGTCATGACACACTCACGAACCACTCTGGAATCTTTTTCTTGCCACCAAGCCAAGGTCAGATCGCGATGACAACAGCGCGCCACTCTATGCACTTCTTTCCATCGCCCCTGTACGTATACACACGTATACCCAGAAACCCATGCGCGAACATGCAATAAGGATGGTTGAACCACCCTCCCGAAAAAAATTTCTAGCTACGCCACTGCTAGAGGAGCTGTCTTTACAGAGCGGAATTCTCGTTTGAGCTGGCTGGGACGGGTTCATGACTGACGATACTTTTGTCGCAAACTTAAAGAGGACACAAAACACAAAATAGCAGGATGGGTGCCAAACTTCCAACTAGTTTTATTCCACAGCGAGAAGAGGATTTTATAGCACAAGCCAACAGCATGGTGAGCGCGCGCGCGTCAGAGTTTTTTTCTTAACTAAGGAACCGCAAGGTCCTTCTGAGAAACCAATCTCTTTATCTTAAAGAGATAGCGAATCCGTGCTTACGCATGCGTCGCCCCTTTGCCTTAACTATACACCTCGCCTCTATCGATTATCTCTCCGTCTTTTCTTTTGCTCTGCACGCCTCTAATAACTCCGCTTCAATGAACTTGGGGTAGCAGCCACACACTTTGCAATGCGTGGCCATCAAACTGCCCAATCATTTTTTTTTTTTTTGCATTGATACGGTTCACGTATTAACTGCCGAATGAAGGCGCATTACCATTTTTGGACCTTAAAGTATCGTTCCCTCCTGAAGCACGCATTTGTTGGGCGTACAATCTTTGAGGCAATAAGCGCCTATTTCCTTATCAAAGTGCTCATTCAAAAGAGATAAAGAGAATCATTGCAACCACGCGCTTAAAAAGAGCCATTCAAAAATCGTGCATTCATCAAGTGACAGCCAGCGGCGAATCACAGCCCAGCCGGATAAGGGAAGCTGCATATCCGTCAGATTTGATATCCAGTGTTTGTGAGACCATCTTGAAGCAGATCACACGCCAAAAGACGATGATCAG